CCAGTTGAATTGAGTCCGGTCCGAGCAACTGTGCAAACAACTGTGCGAGTTGCAGGATGTTTGAGATCCAACAAAACACTGTGTTGCACACAAGTTTGCGAATGCAGATTGTCAGACTTGACCATCAACTCGCAGTATAAATTGCGTGTACGACAGTTTACACGCTTACCCATCAACAATAAACCCACATAATCAGCAAACCGTCAACGAGCAGCCAGTTCAGTGGTTGGGTTGATGTTTTTTGTTGGAGTTTCTGGATCAAACTTGACCTGGTTTGTACCGAGTTGTGTCATGACTACAAGTTTGACAGCAATAGATTGATCTACTAATAATCTGATCGTGTTGTTGATTGTATGGATGTTGGTAATCCGTTGCAGATTGATACGGAATGTGACCAGAATACCACAAAGTTTATTGAGTGTGCACATTGCATTCGATGCAAAACGCAATAAACAAATGCGAGTTGCAGCATTCATTCAAGGTTCGACACCAGTCGATACAGCATTGACCACAATGGTATTTATGTCAACAATTGCACAATTACGGAATAAGTCGATTGTTGCTTGACATTTCGTATCGACAGTCTGCGTGTGTGTGCAACGTGCTGTTGTCGCATATGAACAACTTGGATTGACTTTGTGGACAAAACACAGTCACTGTTGCGGTGATGTTTACAGTCGTGGAAATGGTTTCGAATACCACAACTGGTATAACAACTGCATGTGTTGGTGAGCAACCAGAGTCCAGTTTGATCAAGATCTGTCCCAGTAATGATCGAATGACACTGTCGTGTTTGGTCATCATGACAACAATGTCATTGGTTTGGCTCTGCGACTGACCAAATGCGCTAGTCACAGCGATCAGATCAGTTTTCAAGGATACAACTTGCATGGTGAGGTATTTGACTGTTTGTCGCATTTCGTCCATCGATGTGAAAAAGTCAACGTTTCCAATCGAGTTCATATTACCTCGAATTGCCCTGCCAGTAGTTTGGATTGGACTGATACCACGCAAATTGTTGGTCTGCGTGTACACTGACAAATCGCTGTTGATCAATCGCATGCACACAGATTCAGTTACATATACCAGTCTAGTTGCATCAAACGCAGATGCACTGTTTGAATCAATCGAGAGCACCTCATATTTGTCACGGATACGTTGGGTGGTCGAGTAAACGGTACTGGTTGATTGATACGGTGATCTTGCCATGTTTTCAGCAATCATGAGTTTGGTCCAGTCACCACTGCAGAGACTGCAAACACTGAACAGGATCTGGTTGAGCACCGTGATTGGGTCTTATTTTTGACTGTAATAGATGTTTTGTTATCAACGATTGTTGAACCAGAAACTTGTAACTCGCGCACATACTCACAGAGACTGATACAATCACTCAGTGATGACATGGGCTGCCACACTTTTGATCTATCAGCTTTTCCAGGAAGCTTACTGCTTGTGTACTGCATCTGGTCAGCCTGTCAAATATAAATGGTTGACACCAATAAATAAAACATTAGTCAACCATAACTATACAGTTATATCAATCAGCACAGCTTGTGTAATTTCAAAGCTAAACCCAAGATTTATACTAATACAACCAACTTACTTTATACCGAGTTTCAAAAGGCGGTTTGTCACACGCCAAAACCCGTTTAGCATAGCTGTATGACAGCATAGATGCTTGAGCATCGGTATAATGCTCAACGGGTCCTGATGAATGGCCAGTCACTGCTGAATCTGGTGCAATGGACTCTGCAGTATATATGGTTGATACTGTAGAGTCGCATTGCTTTCCAGACTGCAGTATCCTAGCTGCCTCAATCAGGGACGAGACTATAATGTAAATGTTTTAAAACAATCCATCAGTCAATATAATCAGTATAGTTACCATCAACACACTACAGCCTAAACAATCCACAATACATGCATGTACATGCATTCACATCCAAAACTCGTGAGAAATTGATACAAAAATCACACACTTGGTGAAGCAGGGATTCTTGGATCATTGATTGTACTGATTGCACTGATTGGGCTGGATGTATACATATCAGTATATATGTTTTCCTGATTTGAACTAGTCAATCACAACATTACAAAATTATGCACAAACAACAGTAAAAGTTTAAAGTAGCATTCAACCCATTGTCTCATAAATCAAATTATGCATCAACCAATTCAATCCCAAATAATAATCAACCAGCACATCATACCAACCAACACAAATCACAATTGATACACATCGAATGACGTTCAATGACATTAGATAGCATCAAAAACAGTCAAAATCATTACCATCAAAGTCGCGTAGTCGGAGTCGAATCAACAAAATTAAATTCGGCAACGTTTCGAGTCCATCCCAAAATACCGTAAATGCAATCATCAAATCGTAAATAATGCACATGCAAGTAAACAGTCATGTTAGCAATGTGTTGTGTAACCAAACTACAATATTCAGATGCACAACTATAATACAAATACTGTACTGCATACCTTTCTGGATTCATGCTTGCTTCGGCAAGATGTGGTGCATTTTCACAAGCATTGGTTGGTTGGGGAATAGTGTTTTGCACACTACGGCAAGACTGTTTTGGAGAATCAGCCGATAGGATGTTGAGACGGGACCACAGTGAATTCATTATTGGTGTTGTAGGGTGTCAGGAAATGGAAATGGAAATGGAAATGAAAAACGAGTTGATCTCGAAACTTGATAACAATAATATGGGTAGCAGTTGTAATAGTTGCAATAGTTGCTGCAAACTAATACGTTCAAACAAGTAGTGTGTATGACTGTTTAACAAAATACACAAGGGAAACAATCAGATCTGAGATTTGGATCAATAAGTGGATGGACAAGTATCTCCAATACCAATCTAATTTCAGCAGCACAATAGTCGGCATTTTTAATGGGTTTGGTAATCCAGTCAATTTGATCCTCCCAGAAACAGTGAAATGATGAATGAGGCAAATACATGCCATATTTTGACGTCATTTCCTGTATATAACCACGATAACAATCATTGATGTCAGTCGAGTCAATCAGTT